CTCCCCCCTCCCATGATGCACCTCTCCTTAGCGTGTTACATACGTGTCCTGGTTGGTGTCGCACACGTCTCCCACCAGGTCGTTGTCCACGTCCGTCTGCAGAAGAACACCCACACACACGTTTTCACACGTTTTAGCCTTTTTTACTCCGATTTTAACGTAAAAAAACGCTCGTTTTTCCTCTTTTGGTGTCTTTTTGTGTCACTTTACAGCTAAACGACGCTTTATCAACAAAGACAAACAAACACAAAAGAAATCATCACATCTGAGCAGAAAATGTCGGATTATTACTGTAAAAAACACAAACCACTTTTATGACTTCAATGCAGAAACACAGCAGAACCTCGATTTCTGACGCCAAAATATACGAAATTTGATCAAATATTTGAAATTTCCAACATACGTTGAAGTCATAGATAAAAATATATAAACAATAAAAATTTAATCAAAATAACTAAAGCTAAAGGGCCAATAAAAACCCTTTTTACTGATTATTTCTTTATCATTTATGTATTTTTCCATCTCTCTTCTAGAAGTCATTTGTTTTCTTGCTATGTGTAATTATCTGCTGTATTTATTAAGGAGTTATCGTAGGTTTTTGGCACCAATTCTAGGAATTACAGAGTATTCTGATGGAAGATTTGAACCAACACACCAATATTTAACACACAAGTCGCTCCTGGAACCAGTAAGACTGTTATAGAGGTTCTGCTGGATTTAATATTATTTAATTTTCTTATTTGAATAATTATATTATTATATTTTCATAACTTCATTTACCTTTATTTATGTTGTTACATAGTAAATAACCTTTATTCATTCAAGCCTCCACTGTTCTTTTTCCCTTTTTTCTGCTGTAACGTGTACATTTCCCCACTTAGTGACCAATAAATTGTTCTATTCCATTCTAGTTTCATAGGTTTTTGGAACCAACTCTAGGAATTACAGAGAATTCTGATGGGATATCTGAAAATACATTAATATTTACCTGCATGGGGTTGTGATGGATATCTGAACCCGTACATTAATATTTGACATTAATATTTTAATATTTACCTGTATGGGGTTCTGATGGTTATCTGAACCCGTGCATTAATATTTGACATTAATATTTTAATATTTACCTGCATGGGGTTCTGATGGGATATCGTACATTAATATTTTAATATTTACCTGCATGGGGTTCTGATGGTTATCTGAACCCGTACATTAATATTTGACATTAATATTTGTATTTTATTTACCTGCATGGGGTTCTGATGGATATCTGAACCCGTGCATTAATATTTGACATTAATATTTTTTTTTTTTTT